GTTAGATACAGCTTTCATCTGGTTCCCATACAGGACGTAATTCAGGCTCCGAATTATCATTCTTTTCCGAAATGCGCATTACCTCGCATTTGTCGGCTTTAAACCGCAGTTGCCAATCATTGCTCTAGGACTGCAATCGGGTAAAGTTCCTCTTCATTTCAGCACTCATTACACTTTTATGTCATCTGCAAAGAGTTTGGTTTGTGATGTAATATTTCTTGGAATGTCATTAATGTAAACAAGAAATAAAATGGGACCCAACCCAGTTTCCTGAGGTACGTCAGACTAAACAGAAGTCCAAGATGAATAATACCTTTGCAAGGCAACTCGCTGGTACCGATCTGTTAAAAAACTTCTAAGCCAAGACAGAAGTGAACCTTGGATAAGTTAGTAATCTTGTGGTTTCCGTTCCAATTATTCATCGAGACTCAGCGGCCAGAAAAGTGCAAGGTCAAAGTGTCTCTCCGTTTATTTTAAGGCGAAATTTGGGGTCACAGGAGTCAACACAAGGACGGACCATATCAATCAGAAGAAGATGGATCGGGGGTTCAATACGCTTTTAAAAGAGCTCCCGTTCCAGTGCACTTCTGCCTTGAATAAGAGCATGTCAATTTGTATAGTTAATGTTTTATTCTATAGTACACTTATTGTAGTATGTAATTTTTATTTTTACTGTCAGTGGTTGCTATGTGGCCCAGCCGGTTTAATTTAGATGATGAAAGTGAGAAATATTTTTGTTCGGTAAATTTAATTACACTTTTGACGAATATTGAGTCTCGGGCACCAAATTCGACGTGAGGGAAGACAATCTCCATAAAAAAAACTCTACGATGTGACTCCTTATGGATGAGAGGGAACGAGGAAAGAGGAAATGTTAGTTTGGTGACTCCAGCCCTTCGACCAGAAATGATTTTTATCTTGCCACAGTTACAAATTTTTACTTCAACAATTAGTACCTAGTTTTTGGTGTTTTGCGGCGTTTTCATGGAAGCTTTCATGGAAATTGAGCGGATGTTTGTTGATGCAAAGACAGAAGGGTGTGGCATAGCTTCGGAGCTGAACCTACTTAGTGGAGCTTTTTGTGGAAGAGAAGCGGCAAGCAGAGAAGTACGAGCTAGACGGAGATGACTCGAGTATACTTTTTTGAAAGCTTGAGACACTACGTGGCTCGTACTCGCCGCCATTTTTGCTTGCGGACATCTTTAAAGAACTTGCCAAGGAGCTTGTTGAGAGCAGCAGCAGGTGTGTTCATCACATTAAAATTTCCATCGACCTCCTATTCGTAAAACCCTTCAAACTTTTTCCACTCGTATTTCGTGTTTTTCATAATGTCTGACGACCTTCGGCAGCGATGAAATCATCTGGTTCTCGAATTGAGTTTTCTTCGTAGTGCTCGTCTTTCTCCCTTTCGTCGCCTGTCTTCCTTCAAAATCTCTAAGAAACCAAGTCGAAAGACTGAGATATTTGCTTCTGAGTTTTGTTCGTTTTCTTCGTCTACGCACTTTTGCTTAAAAAGTCTTTCAAATTTGCCTCAAGAGACATTTTGGCGATCAAAGCAAAATTTTGAAGTTAGTGGGCCGTACAGTGAAATACGGACTAATCCTAGCGCACTTACTAACTGAGAGATATAATAAAGACATTGATTTAAAAGGTGAAACAAGTAGTATGTTAGGAGGCTTTATATGTAAAGAACGATTAAGTGGCAGTATTGTCAACTGGATACGGATAATCGTTGCTTTTAGAGGTTTTGTATCCGTATGTTGATGAGGCAAAGGGATGCAGCCTGCACTTTTCCAAGCACGATTTGTAAGTCATTAATCCAACTGTTTCCCTGTTAAACGCCTTAATAGACGACCATAAAGTTTCAAGCTTGAGAAATAATAGGGTATGAGCAACGAAGTTAGGGGTTAGAGAGGCCTCTTATTAAAAGGTTAGAAAGCAAATAGGTGACTTCAAAGACGTTACCAGAACTGATGTTTACTGATTCGAACCAAAGTAAATCAAGAACAAGAGCTGCAAGAGTTTATAATCTATTGTAACGAATCACCACCGTA